TGGCTATTTACCCTATCCATGCCCCTCATGATTTTATAAACTTCTGTAAGGTCACCCCTCAGCCTCCAAAATTCCAGGGAAAATAGCCCCAGCCTATTATGCCTCTCCTATAGATCAAATCCTCCAATCCTGGCAACATCCTTGTAAATCTTCACTGAACCCTTTCAAGTTTTACAACATCCTTCCTGTAGCAGGGAGACCAGAATTGCACGCAGTATTCCAAAAGTGGCCCTAACCAATGTCATGTGCAGCTGCAACAGGACCCTCCCAATGCCTATACTCAATGCACTGATCAAGCATTTCAAACACCTTCTTCACTATCCTATCTACTTGCGATTCCACTTTCAAGGAACTATGCACCTGCACTCCAAAGTCTCTTTGTTTAATTGTTCACCACTATTCATGACTGGATATGTCAGGACTGCAGAGCTTAGATGTGATCTGTTGGTTATGGAATCACTTAGATCTACATCATATCTACCCTCTTTGCTTGAGATTGTCTTTGCCATCCAGGCTGTGTGTGTGCACTGCTCAGTTGGAGTTTAATTTGATTTCCTGTCGCAAAATCACGGCTCCTTTGGACCCTACTACTAAATGCCATGTTTGTACCCAGCCCAGAACAGAAACCCACCCTCTCCACATTGGGTCACTGTCCCAGGATTTCTGTGGCCTCCCCCCGCCACCCCCCAACCCCACCCCCCAGCCAAGCTGTACTCACATATAAGGAGCTGTATGATGTTTTGAAGAAGGGGAAGTTGATCGAGATGGGTATCTGTGGAGATCCTCCATCATCCTCTTTGGGGTTGGCAACATCTCCAACAGCTGTCCCGAATGGATAAAACAGGTCACCTGGAAAACCAAACCCACAATACACCCCACCGTCCCCCCCCCAAAACAAAACATAATTATTAACATCCAAAATATACTGAACCACAACATCATTCTGTCTGGAAGTGGTGGGGAGGGGGGGGGAGGTGGGGAGGTGGGAGGGTGGGGAGCGATTGCCCTGACTCTAACAATGTAGGCAATGGAGAACTCTTGTAGTAGTATCTGAGCCAAACAGGCATGAGATCAAATCCTACTACTCCAGAGGAGTGTGGCACCATCCCAGAGCTACAACCATCCTGTTCTCTCTATGCTGTGCCCCTATTCATCATGTACCAAACCCCTTTGCGTGTGTGAGTGTGTGATTGTGTCTATTTATCTGCTCTTTCTTCTATTTTCCCACTTTTTGGTTCAATTTCTTTTGGTTTCAAATGGGTTTTTGTCTCTGTTCTTATGGTTATTTTTCCACTCAGGCAGTGGATGTCTCTGAACAGGCTTGTATTCATTGTCCGCCCCGAGGTGTACCTTGAGAAGGTGAGCTGCCTTCATGAAGTGCAATAACCCATGTGCCATGTAGACCAGTAATGTTCCTTAGAGAGGGAATTCCAGGATTTTGACATTGAAGGAACAGCAATATATTTCCAATTCAGGATGATGAGTGGCGTGGAGGGGAGCTTTCAGGGGGATTGTGTTCCCATATACCTGCTGCCCTTGTCCTTCTAGATGGAAGTGGTAATGGGTTTGGAAGGTGCTGTCTGAGGAGCCTTGGTGAGTTTTTGCAGTGCATCTTGTAGCTGGTACACACTGGTGCTACCTAGCATCAGTGGTGGAGGGAGTGGGATGTTTGTGGATGTGGTGCCAATCAAGTGGGGACTGCTTTGGCCTGGATGGTGTTGAGTTTATTGAGGGGAGAGCTAAAGAAATATGAGAAGGAACAGCAGCGACAGAGATGTAAATAGTCAGAGGGAGAAACAGAAGAGTAGACAATCTGCAGACCTGATGTGGTCCAACCTCCTCTGGAGCAGTTGGAACTTGAACCTGGGTCTCCTGGCTCAGATGCATGGACACTACCACTGCACTATGAAGAGCCCCTCTATTGCAAGCTACAATCTCAGTCCCAGCCATCTATAGCTGTGGTTGGAGCTGCCCCCATCCAGGCAAGTGGGGAATATTCCATCACACTCCTGACTTGTGCCTTGTGGATTGTGGAGTCAGGCAGTGAGTTGCTGTCTGCAGGATTCCTAGCTTCTGACCTGCTCTTGTAGCCAATGGTTAGTTTGGTTCAGTTTCCAAAAAACAGTAACATCCCAGGATACAGATAGTTGGGATTCAGAGATGGTGATTCCACGTCGAGGGAAAGTGGTCAGATTGCCTTTTACTGAAGATAGTCATAGCCTGGCATTTGTGTGGCGTAAATATTACTTGCCACTTGTCAGCCCAAGCCTGGATATTGTCCAGGTCTTGTTGCGTTTGAACATGGACTGCTTTAGAATCTGAGGAGTTGTGAATAGTTCTGAACATTGTGCAATCATCAGCAATCGTCGCCACTTCTGACCTTATGATGGAGGGAAGGTCATTGATGAAGCAGCTGTAGATGGTTGGGACTGGGATTTTAGCTTGCAACAGAGTGCTTCTTTGTAGTGCAGTAGCAGTGTCCACACATCTGACCCAGGAGACCCAGGTTCAAATCCCAACTACTCCACAAGCAGAGATAGTAGGAACTGCAGATGCTGGAGAATCCAAGACAACAAGGTGCAGGGCTGGATGAACACAGCAGGCCAAGGAGCAGCTTGGCCTACTCCACAAGCAGTTGTGCCACATCAGGTCTGCAGATTGTCCACTTTTCTGTTTCTCCCTCTGACTATTTACATCTCTACCTCTCTCTGTCTCTGATGTTCCTTCTCGTATTTCTTTAGCTCTCTCCTCCCAATTTCCATTTATAACTTGCTCCTTTCCACAGATTGAACAGCGAGCCACATTGTATTTCTTTTTTAAAACAAATATTCAATTATAAAAAGGTCTTACCCATACAATGTGTCAGGATTGGCGCTTCCAAAAGTAATACTGTGTCAGAGAAGAAAGGGAGTGAAGTATATATTAGTTCAGGAATGGATATATACCCCTCATTTTAGTCAAACAGATTTCCCCCCATCCCCTCACAATTCATATCTCCCAGTCAACTTGATGTATGGATTGAGATCCTCTCCTGATGGTGTGCCCTTACTCCCTCCCAAAACCAGCTTCAATTTGTAAAATCCCACTGTCTCCAAAAGTGCCATCCTTCGAAGACTGTTTGTCATATTCTTAACTCGAGTGAGAGTGTGAAATACTCACCAGAATAGATCAATATAAACCTCTGAACTGATCCTGCCATTGCAGCTCAGTCAGGTTCACAGGGAAAGTTTATAGTAGGTAACCACAGGCTCAAAGCAACAGATGTCCTACAGGAATACAGAAAGTGCAGGGAGTTACTTCAAGATAGAAATTAAGAGAACAAAGGGAACATATTAAGAAAAAAAAAACACACACAGTACCAAGTAAGATTAAGGAAAAATCCAAAGATGTTTGATAAGTGTGTCTGGAGCAAATGGATGCTATTTAGTACATTGGGTCTGTATATACTGGAGAGGATGATGTGGGTTTAGATATGGGAGGGATCTGTAATATATTTTTGATTTTGATTTGATTTATTATTGTCACATGTACCTAGGTACAGTGAAAAGTTTTGTTTTGCTTGCAGTACAGGCAGATCAAACCATACAAGGTACATGAGGGTAATAAATAGAACAAATTTGAGCAAATTAGCATGGAGAGGAAGGAGGTATTCTGGTTTAATCCACGTCATAGTGGATAAAGCTCCACAGACCAGAGGAGATGTATCTCAGGAACAAAAATAAAGTGCGAACTGAGGAAGGGTCACCGGGCCTGAAACGTTAACTCTGTTTTTTCCTTCACAGATGCTGCCAGACCTGCTGAGCTTTTCTGCCAACTTCTGTTTGTTCCTCATTTACAGCATCCGCAATTCTTTCGGTCTTTATTGAGATGTATTTCGGGCTGCCGTGGGTGTCAAAGGAGGAGATTGTAGGGACTCTGGCATTAATTTTCAATTCCTCTCTGGCCACAGAAGAGGTGCCAGAGGACTGGAGGACAGCAGGAAATAATAAATGCTGGAGATCACAGCGGATCACGCAGCATCCATAGAGAGAGAGCAAGCTAACGTTTCGAGTCTAGGTGACTCTTCATCGGAGTTGAAGCTGGAGGACAGCTAATGTGGTGCCGTTATTCAAGATAAGTGAGAGGGATAAACCAGGGAGCTATAGGCCAGTGAGTCTAACTTCCATGGTAGGGAAACTATCGGGAAAAAAAAACCTGAGGGACAGGATTTGAAGAGGCAAAGATTAATCAAAGCAGGGCTTTGTCAGAGGGAGGTCGTGTCTAACAAACATGATGGAAAGCTCTGGGGGATGGAGGGAGGTTAGTGGGAAGCGGGGGAAGTGGGAGAGAGGGAGGGGCATGGGGAAGGGAGAGTGCAGCGGACCGTCTGCTTCCCCAGGGTGAAGCGGTGAGGGTGACCCACTGCCAGTACCCAGCTCTGCCGCTGCCCACTATCTCGCGGCTGGAATTTCGGGATGAAACCGCCTCTGGACCGTCCCTAAACTCTCCTCAACCGCACCCCCACCCCCCCCCCCCCCCCCCCCCCCGCCCCCCACCACTCTGGCAGGAGGGGGAAGTGGTGAGGTCGGTTTGGAAACAGCTCCTTGAGCAGCAAAAGAATCAACATGACAGTTATTCAACATAGACACTGCTGGAAAAGCTCAGCAGGTCTGGCAGCATCTGTGGAGAGAAAACAGAGTTAACGTTTCAAGTCCAGT